GTAATATTTGAGGATGGTTCCTCACTTATGTCATGCTGCAAATGCAGTGCTAAGACAGTTTGCAGTAACTATTGGAGAACAGCTCTGTTGGAAGTGCTGACCTGCTGTTCTTATTAACTTCTTAAACTGCAGGCATATTCTTCAGTAATAAGTAATATTATATTACTCATTACTGAATTGCTGTATTATAGTAATAAAGTGTATTAACCAGTAACTGCTAAATTTAGTCAGGAACTATGAGTAGTGGGCGGTACTGATAAAATTCAGTATCATAATATTTTCCAAATATGCCACAGTGTCAGTGTAAACATATTTATGTTTTTATTGATAAAGTTAAGAACCCCATGCTTTGTCAGTATGTGTACTCTACATTAAAGGAATGTCTTACAAACCTTACATAGTTAGTTTGGATTGGACTATTTTGTTCTGTTTTCTTATCATAAAAATATACTAAAGGAAACCTTACATAGTGTTGTAAATGTTAATCAGACAACAGAAAACCAATTCCCAGAAATAAATGTACTATTTATTTATTTATTTATTTATTTTACAGATTTTATGTTAACTGTCGATCCAAAATGGTCTGAAGCTCCGAGTATTGACATACACTACAAGTGTTTGTTATCTGTTAATAGTGCTAGAACAGAAAAGAAGTATCATTTTGCGATAACAATACCTGTATACCAGGAGAGACAATGTATCGCCCAGCACAAATAACTGCTGTGAAACTTGTATATAAGATATGACTTTACCAACTTTAAAGGGTAAACTGGGATTCCTAGGCTTTACACTTGGGGTGCATATTGGTATGTATTTGTGCTCTTTAGGCTGCTGTGCTGAAATACCTGTATTTTATTTATTTGAGTTTATTTGTAAACTTCTAGAAATAAATGTCTTTGTAGAAATAAATTTGTCTGTAACACTAATTCAGGTGGATATGGTCTTGATTCAGGTATCAGGATTGATAGATATGTACATGAAAAATATCAGCTTTCAGCATTAGCCTACAGTTCCCATATTGGTTCATCCCTGCTTCACACGAGGAACCAAAACATGACTGAGCCAGAAAGTTTTTGGTTTGGTTTGGTACCAGGAGTGCTGTCCTAGTAGAAACTTGGTTCAAGTTTCTGTTGTTTGGCCATTGCCATTGTGCCTTTGATCAAGGCACTGAACCCTCAGCTGCTCCAGGGGTGTCACATATGCCACCTTCATCCCGTTCCTCAACTCTACCCCAACTCCCATGAATAATGATGATTCCAAAAATGATCAGTGTTGCAATCATTTGAAAAGCTATTGATCAACAATAGCGGTGAAGAGATTACATTAAATGTTGCATGAATACAAAGCATCGTTTACAGTAATGTGTCTGTAACGGTTGGTAATGGTTGTGGGTGGGGCTATTTACACTTTCAAGCCATGCAAGTGTGAACGCAGCCTTTGAGAGTTAAGGGGTGCTCTTTCAGTCTTTCTGCTGCTAGGCCACCACTCCCTCACAGTTTCTGCAGCAAGCACAGGGTTCAGAGACATCAGCAGAATAGTGTTCCCGATGCACTATTCTAGGTATGTTCAACCACAGATAAAACAGTGCCAATTTATGTCCAAAGTTTCCCCCTCCAAAGGCAATGGTTAGATATGGCGCCATGACAACTCAAAGAACCATTTGAATGGTTAAATGTAAATAGCTCTTTACATGGTTAAATGTTCTTCTTTGTGATGGAGAATGTGTTGTATATGACCTTTTTTAAATGGTTCTATATAGCACTAGAAATGATTCATCTATTGTCATGGAGTTCATTGAACATGTTTTGGTACCACATAAAACTCCTTTGAGTATACAGACAGTATTTTCTGCACTTCAGGCTCTTGGCTGAAGAAGGTTTCAGTAGTCATTTGTGTGCTAGTGTTGCCACTTAGCTAGCATTAGTGCTCCTCTTTGTGGAGTGTGTGGAATTCACAAATGTTCGGGATGAGGTTTCACTGGGTGTCCTAAACTAACACTTAAAAACCATATGACCATATCATTATATTGTGTTGATTTGAGTCTGAATTTTTGAATATTGCAAATCAGCTTGTCTCTAACATTATACGGTCTATGTTGAAGAACCATGACATGTCTGAACAGTAGTTCACCAGAGGTGAGTGAAGACCCTGCACCTGTTTTAGTTAGTTTATTATCTGTTCAGTCCAAAGAAGGAACCATAAAAACACTACTGCATCTAGCTAAAGGCTACTGCCCACCAGCGGAGAAGGTCGGCACTGCACTGCCAAAGCAGCTATGGCACATAAGATGGGCTCACAGAAAAGCATCAATAAAAAAAGAAACTTAAGCTTATTTTACACTCTACTCACTTAGATATAATGTAATAAAACCTTCGATGCAATTTAGTAAAGGTTTGGTATCAGTTGGCTAACACTGTTTTCAGTCTGAAAGGTATGAGGTGAAAAATGATATGACTAGGCTAGAAACATTAGCAGAGGTGACAAGGGACATTTGTATGTTAAGCTTAAGGACTGTAGATTGACATGTTTCTCTGTGTAAATTTCAAGCCACGTTACCTGCTATGGATTTGTGTTCTAGGTCTGAGTTTAATATAGTACAGCAATTGTACTATGCTGAGTGGTGATAGTGTCTCTGGTGGTGGCTGCCTGATGCGACCAGTGTGCAGTAGTAGAGTATTCTTTATTGGTATTCTTTAGTGGTTTTTAATACAGTTTAGTGTTGATATTGACTATTATTTTTTGCTTTCTTAAATCAGTTATATGGGTGTGGATTTATTTCTGACATAAAAAAAGAAAGATAATTTGTACAGGGTTCAGTTTAACTAAGTTGCAGTAGAACTGTGGGATGCAATGTACCAAAATATCACTTTTGATACCACCACACAGTAAATGAAAACAGTATTATCCTTACAGTGGGGTCTAGTAGCAGCCTATAGAAACAAACCAATGTTCTGCTGCTAGCTTTGTAATAAAGAATTACTGTTCTAAGCCTATGTTTTCAGTCTTCCCATCTGACCTCCATTATAGTCACCTCTTTTTGATTTCAGCTCGCAGTGCTGGAAGAAGACAAGAAGAGTAAGCTGCTCGGAGTAAGTTTTGACGGGTCCAGTCATAGCTTCATTGCACTGCACTTGCAGTATTGGAACTGTAATGCTTTTGTAACAGTTTTGTGTCTGTGGATGCTCAAATCCTAATCCCCATGTTTTCCAGCCCAATGGGACTCCACTATCCTTACCTTCCTTCCAAACTCCATTTTGTAATCACAGCAACCACCAATGCTGATGGGCATTTGGGAAAGTTGTGAACATTGTTTTTAAAAATGAATGAAGTCAGATTGGCTCTGTTGTGCAGGATAAGTTCATTGACAACCCATGTTTTGACATCTCTCCTACACTGCACATTTTTACATAATTTCCACATGAATAAACTGAATTACATCAACACTATTTTGTCTTTCAGTTTACTTACATTTGGCAACAGTTATGTTAACGTAATAGATTTTATTAATGTGCAAATGATAAACACACTTGAATGAAGTAAATTCAGTGCTGCTTTTTTCAGTATAAGTACTACTGATACAGGACTGATAGTCATGAAAACTAATGAAAATCCTGTGATGTTTCAGATCAAACCATTTTAACTTGTGTTAGGGGAAAATTATAATATAAAAGCCTGACCTTTGAAAATATTTGAATATTTGCACAAATAAACATGTATTGCCTATGAACAAGTTTGGTTAAGGCACTGAACCCCTTTCTATGAGATGTGTCTTGTCGGTATTATGCAGTTATGCTAAGTCAACTACTAAACAAGCCTAATGTTTGCCACACTATATAATCTATGACATCCATACAAGCGTTGCAGATAAGAGAGATGTGCCTTCAATTTAAGTTTGAATCAGGAGGGTACTGCATGTAATGCTTAGTGTTTCAAAGCTTCAAGCCCATCCTGTCTTCCGATGTACAGTATGTAATGTTTTGGTATTTTACTTGTACATCATATATTGTTGGTTCTCTGCGGGGTACATGGCTGAACACCAGAAGACTCATGGCCTGAACCTTCCCACTTCATATGCAGTAATATCATAACAGTTAACAACATTCATTTTAGCATTTGGTTAAAAAGTCTTGTGGTATAAGTGATATTAACAAATAAATAACTTCACTCATAATACACTAGTTATATGCTCTATTTATGTAATAGTATTTGGTGGTAACAACTTAAATCTAAAAGGTAACCATTCCTATGACTGCTTTTAAAAAGCCTTCATATTCTCTTATTCAGCTATCAGAAAATTACTAACTGGGACCACCATGTTTTAATGCATATCACACTATATCTTGTCCCTAAAAATCAATCTGCCAGCTCCTAAAATGAGTGATCTCACCACTAATAAAATAAAACATAAATAGGAACCATTTCATTGTGAATTTAAATTAACAGTGATACATGTTCTTTTCATGGACAGTAAACCACATTGGCTGACACTAATTTTATTTTTTCTCTCATTAACATCTCACCCGTTGTTCATATTTTTTAGTGATACTCACCAGTCAATATAATATTTACATTTCTGGATATGATATATTGCTTTAAAAAAAAGCCTTAAAATAAAAATAAGTAAAAATGAAAATATTCACTTAACTTCATTTAGGCAAAATGTTGACCCTGCTCGTCATGTAATACTTTTCTATTTGAATATTCTGTGTCCTTGTTTTTTGTCACATTGAAGCCCCAAACTAGTCCCTTGTCGCTCAACGCTGCTCCAAATTAAAAGTCGCAAAGACTACATTCCCCGCTCTGCGAGGATGTGCAGCGGGGATATTTCTCATCAAAGGAGAATTGTGGGATTTGAAGTGTGTTGCGCGTTGCCCAGGACACTCTTAAGGCATTCCGGTGGCAGGAGGGCCAGTGGGTGAAATATGAGGGCGGAGCTTCCTCTGCTTGGCAGATAGATGCCTTGTGAACTTAAAGGCAAAGTAATCAACTTGAACATAAATCGCAACACTCAACTTCACAGTCGTACGCCACCGTACGTCCTGGACCGTAGTAGCCCTCCTTTCATGATACAGACATGGCGTTCTTTACAAGGCAGTCAGTATAAAAGTGCATCTTCGACATTTCCCCGAGAGCTGCGCATAAATCTGTGAAGCGAGTGCATTAATCCGTTGTTTGCTTTTTTCGTTTGTGGTCAGGTAAGCTCGAGTAGCCTAAACTTGAGGTCTGAGTCTGATGCGATGGTGCTCTGCACGGTAAGCTGCACTTTTGTACGGATGCTTTTCAGTATTAGGTCAGATCATTTAAAATGTGATTAACAAATTACACGTCCGTGTTGCTTTTAGATTATTGGTAGACTTGTTTTGTTTTGACCATGTTTTAAAGACCGACAGGAGAAGAATGCACCGTCATTAGCAAATCGATAATAATCATTTAAAATAATAGTAATACTAATGTGTAAAATCAGATTTGCCACTGAAATGCAAAACATGCCATCAACGCGAAACTGTGGGCTAAAGTGAATAAGGACGGCTGTGCTAGGCTGCTCTTTGCAACAGTCATTGTGCCAAGGCTAAAAATATGTAACAGCCTGTGCCCTTCTCCGAGCGACCCTTTGTTTTTCTGTTGTGCAGTAGAGTAGGGTGATAAAAGACGTTTCTCAGATGTTTCTCAGGGAATGTAGGGCTTGTCAGTGCTGAGACCGTTTTTCGATTAATACAAAAATGATAGGAAAAGATTATGAGGCGTTTTTCGTATGAATCACGTTTTCCACACCGGTTCAAAACTGTAGGCTAATTTATTTCCCCTTTAAGAACTCGGGCGGTGCGGGGGGGAGGGGGCGGGGTCGAGCGCCCCAGCTGCTGAATTTCGGCCAATTAAAAGCCTTCGACCTCTTTCACGATTCGCCCTTCTGAGAGTGGGGCGGGGCTCCGCGCTCCAGCGGTTTCCACGGCAACCGCTCGGCTTGACCTCCACACTCCCCCTCGGGCGAGACTGGTTTCCATAACAACGACTGTAGCCTATCTGTTCCCGTAAAGCTGCTTCCTACAAAAACTGTCCAAAAATGTGGAGAGTTTGAAAAGTTTGAACATTAGGGTCCATTAAATGATCGCACTCTCTTAAACCGTGTTTGTGCGCATGCTGGGGAACAAAAAGGTGGGGGCAATGTATAAACAGGCGGACAAATACAGATTAGGGTACTGTGAATAATTTAGTTCTTCACAAGTAGATGCTCGTTATTATGTTTAGTCACCGATTAGACAAACTGACATTAAGATGTGATGTTTGTAGGGCTCATATGCTGTTCTTTTAGGATCTCTCTTCCATCGTACACGCACAGACGCTCCCTCTCTCCCCCACACACAAAAGCACAGGCGCTGCGGCCCTTGCACGCACGCTCTCTCTCTGTCTCTCTCTCAGCCTCACCCAGGAGAACACGCACTCACTATATCTCTTTCTCATACACACCTAATCACTCTCTCTTTCTCTAATAACCTACCTTAATATTCTCTCTCTCACAAACACACACACACACAAACGTTCTTTTTCTCCTTTTGTAACACTCTAACACACACATGCTCTGTTTCTCTCTCTCTCTCTCTCTCTCTCTCTCTCTCTCTCTCTCTCTCTTTCTTTCTCTATCTATCTATCAGCTCCCCTTTTCATGTAGGTTTGGAGCTGAACTGGAATTTCGACTTCCTGTGACCTGTCGAGACTCATCTGCCTGCCCGGACTGAGGGTGTGTTCGGTGGGGGTGGGGAGGAGGGGGGGGGCGCACGTAAAGAGGGGGCATAATTGGGAGAGATGCGGAGAGTGGAAGAAAGAGGGAGCTGTATCTCTCTCGGACACACACGGCACACTGCGGAATCTTTTATTTAAGGCCTTCACAGTTGATCTCTTCAACACTCTTAGATATAACATTGTCTAAACTGTATGTTTTACATTCTTCAGGCGCAATTACGGTTAATATCGTAAAGGTACGATTAGCACCTCTTAGTACACGGTGGACATGCTCATAAAATCAATTTATAACATGACAATAACAACTAAACATCAGCCCTGAAAAAAATTACACTGACTTGAGTCACAAAGCAGAAAACTGGACAAGACTGGTTTGGTAGACGCTGTTTGGGGTTAGTTTATAGGTCAAATGCACTAGCTTACCCGCATATTTATGAATGAACAGAATACAACCTGCCAACTTATTTATTTCCCTTTGTGGTCAAGGACGAGGGACGTTCAATCTCTCTTTCTCCCACAAAACAAGGAATTTACATGTTTATGCCCTTGTACACTGTAATATCTTTAACCCTATTCCACAGCGGTAGTACATAAGGTGGTGAAACATCCTAGCTAAACTAGCTAAAGCTAGAAGAGGCCCTACAGCTCGTTATCTCAAACCGAATCCACAGTCTCCGTTAACCAAAAAGAAAATACAACGTTTTGTTAAAAAATAACCAAAAACGATGACCAGTCAGATGTCCCACAATGTCAAAAAGCTCACATTTTCTATCTTGCTGGGGGCATTTGGTCCCTACAAAGAGGCAGAAACCAGGCCACACGAACGCAAGCGCGCGCGCACAAATACCGCCCACGCGGGCCCGCGCGCTCAGAAGGCTCGAGGAGGCAGCGCTTCGCTAGCAGCAGCTAACAGACCGCGCCAAGGAGAGAAAGCCCATCTCCCCAAAAACACATTTACGTGAGGTAAAAACACAACAACACGTCGTTTCATCAGCTTCCGCACATTTCAACGGTTTGTAATGCCTAGGCGGTCTTAAGGGGGATTCATATTTTCATAATTTTAGGGGTCTTTTGCGTCATGACAGTGATGAGTGTAACGACGCTGCTCTTCCCCTCGTCTGTTTTCTCCTGTTTTCGCTCTCCTGCAGAGGGCCCATTTCCCTCTGATGTCCATTGCCAAACAGCGTCAGCGTTAGACTGTCCATGATGGCACATTTCAAATCAACAAGGGAACAGAAAAAATCAGTTTCTAAAAGAATATTTTCAAATGGCTTCTTAGTCATTTTGTGCCTGACATTTGCAAATTGAATAGCTCGCATGTAGGCTGTATATAATAATATAAATATATGCAGTACCACACTTTTTCTGTATTACTGTGCAGTTTTAAAACAAGATGATTTTGACTTAAAGCGCTCATATCCTACAATTTTGTTGTCCGCTTGTCCACTTGTGTTGCTTAAGTACCTTTGCAGTTATCATTCATTTTTACACAACCATTTTGCAACCTCTTTTTATTACTTAGAATTAAACAGGCTGTTTTCGTTACTGTATCTTTAAGACTGATACATGTAAATGACCTCTGTTTTGATTTGTTACTCTGTATTGCCTCTCAATCAAAAAACATTCAAGGTTGAAACACACCTCATATCTTTAGTGGGAATGGCCAGAACTTAACTGCTGTAGCCTGAATAGGAGCATGTATACAAAAGTGTTGGTTTTTGTGACATCACAAAAAACAATTAATTTAAAACAGGTTGTTTGTGGACTGTGTGGAAAAGGGCTTAAACTGTCCTTTTTTAACTTCAGCAGTGTTCACATTAGAGGTCTGCTAACTGACCTCTCGAGTTGGGCATGTTTTCTAATGATTTTTCATGTAGTAGATTTCACATACTCTCACACATTTCTCACTTTCTTTATCAGAAGACGGTGAGTGGTTTTGTCTGCCAGGTACGATTGGCATTTCCACAAAAATACACTAACAATAAATACCGTTTACAGTGTATTACAGTTGTGCAAAATATCACTTTATCCCAGGATCAGGTTTGTGTTTCAAATTTACTTTCTGCTTCGGGCTTCAATTTCACACCTGTACAGACCTCCAGTTTACATACTAAATCAAACTCTTACTTCAAAATGGAGGAAAGTTATCCATGATATGGGCTCTTTAAGCTTGATTTAGACAGACTTCTTCAGCCTGTGCGGTGCCTGTAATTATTTATCAATGCCACTATTCCTTCGTTAAGAACGAGAGCATATTCCCCATAAGTCTACCCATCTGAGGACACACGTTTGTGTCAAGTGATTGTTAGAGCTCTAATTCTGAGGTGCTAGCCTATTTGTAGCTGAGGGTTAGCTGCTGCTGTAGGGAGTGTCCCTGCACTGAGGAAACAGCTCAGGAAGTGGTGAGTGAGCTGGCTGTGTGTGTGTGTGTGTGTGTGTGTATGCTTGCCGTCCTGCCTTAATGCACTCCCTCTACTGGTGTCCACTCTGTCACCCTCGCACTGAGACTTAGAGCTGTACAAATCCACCAGCAGAGGAGACAGGAGGAAGGAGGAATACAGGAGTAGCCCTTCATGTACTTAATATTGAAAGAAAAACCAGTACAGTATTATGTTGATTGGCTGCACTTTCCCAAGTCAGTCACTCTCTTTCTTATTTATGTAAAATATGCAGTCTTGTACTTCTTTTTTTGTCCCATGAAGGACACGTATGCAGTTTTCTCCAATTTCATGTTGTGGTTTGAAAGTGAGAGGGTTGAAATGACATTATTGCATCCAGAGCAAAAGAGGCATTTCCTGTTGTAAGCTAACAGAATTAACTAGACATGTTGGCTAAAAACAAAAGAGCATTTTTGTTTCAGATGTAGTCAACTGTTTTTGAAAAAAGTTAAAAGTTTCTTTTTTTTTCCTTTCATTTTTTAAAACAATGCTCATGTTTTCAGGTTTGGTTTTAAACATTAACACTTTTGCGATAGAGAAAGAGAGAAATCTGAGTTTGTAGAATCAGGTCACAGAATTCCTGAAGCATGTTCGGGAAATCTGGAACACCCGGAATTCCAGAGGAGGGGCCTGCGCGAGAGAGCGCTCCATAAACAAATACTGCAGCAAACGCTAATAGAACCCACATGCTTGCGCTCACGCAGAGGGGTGGATGCTGGGAAGGAGCGGGTACTTTCCAAGTCCTTTCCTGGAGAAACTCTGCTCTGGCTACTCAAACGCTTCAGCTTGCAGTAGAGTTTGCGTTCTGTAGCAGTGCAGCTACTTATACTTTAAACTCATTCATACTCCCACACACTGGTTAAATATGCAAGGTACTGCTGCTTTAACATCCACATACGATTGTTTGGCTCTGTTCTTTGTCAGAATATGATTGGTGAACCAAATAAGGCAGAATTTGTCCAAGTCAGGTTGAACTGGATCTGGTGAGATTCTGTTCTGTTGCTTTGCAGTGGAGCAGTGAATGGCCATTAACATGTCACCCCGAAAAAGGCTGCTAAAGTAATAAGTGCAGGCTGACTCTCAGTTTTTCTCCAGTGGATGTGTTCTCAGCAGCCTTTCTTACAGCCGTGCTTGTGATGCTGTAGGACGGTTTGTTGAGAGTAGGAATCTAGGGCAGAGGGTGTGCCCTCCACTGTAGTCAGATGTTTAATCTAGTCTAGTTTGTCCAATCCAGTCTAGTTGGTATGAGCATTTGTATGTTGTGGTACACGTTTTTAACCATTTATCACATGGAATGCCCTTCCTAGCAGCTTTTGTGCACACACATCTTTATTTGTTGGAGTCGTTTGGAACAGATTCTTCTGTTACACAAACAGTACAGACCACACAAAGGACAAAATGAACTTGCACATTGCGTTCTTGTGCCAAAAACAAGGTATAAGGTAACATAATTAAGCCTTTGTTTATGGCAATGTTTCATCAACAGCTTCTTTTTCACAAAAAGAATAAAACCCAATGTGTCAGTTGAAGGAACTTTTTTTTTCATGTGAACTTTTCTTGCATTTCTTGTGTCAAATTTTGAGAAGTTATCGTAATTTTTCAGTTCATGTTGAATTTGTGTGCATGAGAATAGAAGCCAATCACTGAGAACTGGCAGCAGTTAAAATAACTCAAAATAAGGCAAATATATCCCAGGCTTTGAAACTGAGCTCCTAGCCAAAGGATGTAACTCGTCATGCTGGGTTAACCCCTCTAACCTGAGAGTGTAGGTTAAAGTAACCCAGCATGCGTAGTGTAATGTTTACCCAGCACCTGGGTACAAAATGACCCAAATCAAACAGTCCAGAAGTTTTATAATGCAAATCTTCACTTCAAAATGTGTTAATTCAGCTTGAGTCATGTATTTTGAGGTCATTGTCATACTAATGTAGAATGTTAATCATTAGAATGAACGCAAATAAACATAAATACAGTAAAAAGTAAAAAGAAAAAAGTTAATATCTTATGAGCTAGTTTGAAAAACTAAGTTTGGTCCAAGATTTCTCCCTTACAAGCACACCTGATTTAACTTAATGAAGCATTGATTAGCCAAACCAGGTACTGGATGAAAATTATAAATAACACTTGGCTGCTGGAGAGGTTTGGAACTGGTTAAACAAGCACAGACATATGTAAAATCAATAGTTATTGTTTTAATGTTATTTCTATTTATTATAATAATAGCAATTTCTGACCATATTCGTGCTTGCTGCCCAGATGAACAGTGTTTTGAATCTAATTTCCTCAGGTGCCTAAAAGTTCTTTCCACAGTATTGTAGAAATACAAAATAAAGCTACATAATGGTTCTTGGCTTGGACATACAGTTAGGAAAAAGCTTTAATTAGTATAGAAACTTTATATTATATGAAAACTCTTTACATTTCAAAAAGGTTCCTGAACCACATAAATGTCATTTACAAAAATAGATGGGAACCATCTATTGAAACAATCCTTAGGAAACCAAAATGAATGAGAAAGATTAGGAATGTAGTTATAGATTAGCTTTCTGTGTGTGTGTGTGTGTGTGTGTGTGTGTGTGTGTGTGTGTGTGTGTGTGTGTGTGTATGTTTATGAGAGAGATTGAGAATGTAGTTATAGATTAGCTTTTGGTGTATGTGTGTGTGTTCTATGTGAGTGCTCCTCAATTCAGTACTGAGGGTGTGGGTGCGCTGTTTGAACTCAGTGGTTAAGCTGTTAGCCTCTGATGAATGCAGGGGGAGCTCAGTCTCCTCTTTGAAGTCTGACACGGCAGTGGTGGTAGGGGGGTTATCCCTCCCACCAGGAGGGGCCTGGGCAAAAAAAAGAGAGAGAAACTTTCCTGCCTTGTTTTTGTGAGGAACACTAGAGGTCCAGCTTGCGTCTCAGATGCTCAGAAATGTCTGTTATAATTCCTACTTTAATTACTCATTCAAAGTAATGCTACAGCTTCTCAGTATGGGCATCTTAATGGCATGAGCAAGTCTTCAACCCCTTTAACTCTAAGTATTTGTATGTGGGCCCACACTTCAATTCCTCATAACCACTTTTACTGCGTTATTAATTTCACATTATATTGATTTGGTATGTGTGTGACAGGCTACACTATTTAGATACAACAGGTATAGTTTTTTTTTTTTAATAGATCTGACACTAGCATAGTGGCAAATTTGTTGTTGTTCCATCTGCCTAGGATTGATAACTACAACAATGTAGCCAACTCAGGAGCATTTTAAACAGGAAACTGAACAATATATCACTACTCTAAGCAAAGTGTGCTTCAATTTCACATTAGATTAAATGGGATTCTTGCCAACATGCGGTAAAACTTGTCTGACCTCGCAGAAGTAGCTACAAAAGAATGCATTTGAAGCCTGAATAGGTCAATTCATAGTAGTTACTAAATCATAAACCTTAAGATTAATGACTGAGTAATAAGCCTAAGGTTTAAGAGGTCAACGATTAATAAGATAAAAAGTACAATTTTGCTAAAAATGCATGATTTGAGTTTCTTGTGTTTATGCTTATCTTTGTGTCTGTCAAAGAAGGCTGAATGGGGGAAGTCCCTTAACACTCAGACCTCCCGAACTGTCTCTCTCTCTTTCTCTCTCAGTCTTTCTTGTACGCACACACACACTCAGAGACATGCTGAGTCGTGTTAAGGAGCCACCTCAAAGTAGAGTGGAGGCCCAGGTGTGCAGCAGTGGTTGGGGGTGGGACGGGTACAGGCAGGCCTGTGCCGGATCCCCTGGCAGGCGGAGGTGCTCCCTGTGCTGGCTTGTTTCTCCCTCTTCCCTCTTCTACTATGTCTGCAAGCATAAACACAGGTCATAGATGTGGCTCCCTTGAAAGATACTGTCTTCTTGCTTTCTTTCTTTCTTTCTTTCTTTCATGTATGGTTTAAAAAAAGTTACAAAAGTCACAAAACTATATAAAGTCACAAAACTATATACAAAGGCCACAATAAACAGCCCTGTTAACCCCTTAAAGTGCAGGCCCAGTTAATAACCCCTCAAACCTCAGTTATTGATCTTAAGACTTATTCACTAAGCTAAGTACTGTGTATTATTCAGTATCTACTATGAATGTTTTGTGTATGTTATGTAGTAAAGAGAGTGAGTGAATTAAAATACCTTTAGGTTTAAGGGCTTAATCTTAAGACTTATTATTCCTTAGACTAACTACTATCAATTATTTAGCAGCTACTATGATACTTATATGTACGTTAGTTATAAGAGTGAGGAAATGAGGAGTGCACCATATGTACCTCTTTTTGCTATGATTGAATTAAAAAAATGTCAAAACTGTTGTAAAACTTTGTCTCCCTTATCAGGCAACTTATTTATGTCAATTTGATATAATAACTTTGTGTGAAACAGCTTTTAGAGACATTCTTCAGATGTCTATTTCCTGTGACCATCATTGTGAACAATTCTTACTCTGTACGCTTCTCTAGAATGGAGTATTTCACATCAAACCCCTCTGAATGACTCTGGGGTAAAAACTGCACAAAGCTGACCACAAAAATTGTTTTGAAAGAGACAGATCAACGTCTTTGCTAAACTAATGCAGTGTTTGAGAGCGACTCTGTGGGTCGTTATCATCAGTGAAGTCAGTATAGTCATTCCAAAGTTAGAATGAAACATTACTACAATAGTCATTGTTGCTTATGAACCATTCGAAATATTTCAGTTATACTATAGATGTAAGTACCTAGATGAGTAATATAACAAAAATAATAACACATTGTCATTTTTTTTTGCATTTTAAGCAAATTAGCTAACATTTGTTTGTGCCAGTGTAGCAGTGTAATAGGTTTGTGCATGCGCATGTGTGTATTTGAAGTGTGGTGGGGGTGGGGGAATGACACCACATGGTTCTTTCAGTGGAAGTGTAGTCTGCCATGGCATGTTTTCGAACTCAGCTTTCGAATATAAGCTATGCAGCATTGTTGAATGTCTTCACAACATTCTTCGAACTTCTTAAAAGAAAAAAATGCTAAAAAGATATGTTTAAATGGGAAAGGAATAATATAGTAAAAATAAAAAAATCTAATTTACTCATTTTTGCTCTCACATGTTGTTGATCAGCTAGGGCATATTTATTCTTAAACTTTGTACTGAAGATATGATGCTAATGTAGTAAACAAAGTAAACAAAATGTATACCCCACCAATAAGCACTGTACAAACTCCATGCTCAAATTATCACACATTTGTCTTATCACACACTTGCCTCTTTGATGAACACTATATTGTGTTTCCATGTCTGAATTTATAGTTTCAATGAAAGTCAAGGTTTCTATATCAGTATCGGTTTCACAAAAGAAAAAGCAGGATTGTGCCAGCTCTAATAATGCCAGTGGGAAATTCACGGACATCATATCTGTTTTCATAGGAATGTTTGATTACAGACAAGAATGGTATGGAAGTAATGCAGTGTTTCCCAACCCTGCTCCTGGTGGCCTGCTGTCCTGCACAATTTAGTGTTTTCTCTGCTACCAAGGGTTAATTCAGCTAATCAGCTCATTAACCCTCTAAGGACCATGCAAAAAAGTGACTATTTCTGCCCGGTTCATGTTTTTCATTTAATGTTTTCTTTTCTGTTAATAATTGAATTCCTCAGTGCTGTTATCTTTATTTGATGTGTAACACACCAGATCTAACAAAGCTGAAAATCTGAAAATTTGTAGATTGTTATGTAGTTTGTCTCACAAACTACATTTTTGAACAGGCAAACACAAGAACAGGAATGGAAGTCACACTTCCAGCATGTTTTTTCGTTACTCTGATACTTTCATTACTTAACCTCTTAAAATCCCAGGCTTATTACATACTAAGACTTATTATTCAGTAACTACGGGGACTTCAGTGCAAACTCGCTGAGCTATTCTTAGGTTATAGAAGTTTGTAATAAACTTTCGGCCTCCCGATGGGCCCTGGCCTAGCCATTTAACAGCCCCTTTCTGAGTCGAAGTTGGTGTGTTAGTGCAAGGAAAGCACTAAACTGTGCAGGGCAGTGGGCCTGGTTTGGGAAACATGGAAGTAGAGGATGTGTGTGAGAGTGTATTCATATTCATGAGTTTTTTAATGTTAGCTGCTTGTGTACTTGTATAACCTTTCATAGCTCATATTTGAACAGCTTTGGTTGAAAATGAATGTAAGAGCACTCACACAAAAAGAGGTCTTCCTCACACAGTTACTAGTAATTGAAAAAAAAACAGTACCATAATGTGTGACTAGTAACTGCTTCCAGTTGGTTGCTTTTGTGGTTTTGAGTGTGCAAACAGGTTTTTAGCTGTGATGAATATTTCATAAATCCTAAAATGTTGTTTCTGCACCAAAACAAACCAGCCTGAGAAAAGACGCTCTTCATTGAGGCATTTGTTGAATATGCATAGTATATACACCACTATAACACATAGATGAGCTTTATCCTGGGGCATGTTTTGTGGACTTTGCAATGTACCCATAATGTACATGTGAATAACCCTTGAATATTATTGCCTCTTGATACTAGATGGTGAACTGTACAGTCGAGGTCAACCAGTGACTGTATTATGTTCCTTATTTATTTATGAATTCCAGTCTCTCGCTCTCTCTTTCTCTTTCTCTTTCTCTCTTTCTTCCTCTCTCTCTCTTTCTGTCTCTCTGTTTATTTTATGCATTACTGCACTCATCAGCAAATAAAATGTTTTTACCATGCTTTAGAGTGACAGATGATTTTACCTATGTAAGCATGTGTATGTGTGTTTTGTATGTGTCAGATGTTTATTCACATGGGAGAAGATGTGATTTTGGTGCCTCCAGTGGCAGATTTATGTTGCTGTCTTTAACTGACCATCACACACACATACACACACACTCACACACACACACACACACACACACACACACACACACACACACACACACACAGCGCTGCCTGGAAGGTGCAATTGGGTTTTTACTTCCAACTGTAAAAACAACAGAGCTGTAACTTGCAAATGGGATCATTTTGTTTATGCTATGTTTTTATACTCATTCAATTATCATTGTTTTCACATTTAGGAGGCATTCATTTAAATGCAAAGTGCGTCATATGTTGTCCTTAAAAAGAAGCATGATGTGCTTGACATTAGGTCAACATAAATACCAAGGAAGCATTTTATGTGAACAAAATCTTTGCTAGTACTTTTTACTTAATTTGAAAAGTAACAGTGAAAACATAAACATGAAAAAGTGAGGCGATTCATAAAAATGTTGAAATTGTCTTATATAATAACAAATAGAAAATGTAAGTAATATTTCTATAGTAAAATGCACTTTTTACTTAATTTGGAAGGTAAATCAAACATTACTCAGGAAATTTCAAAAAATATCAACGTGTCCAAAAACATTTGATGGGAAATGTACATAAGATAATGTGCAGAACACTGAAATATTGAATGACACAGAGTCCTACTAATATTTTAGAGTTTGCACCAATTGAGGCCTCTGTGTAAGTCTCATGGGTAGAGAGCAAGGAAACTCTTTTGGGTTATTTCATCTACCTTTCGTAATCCTACAGCAGTACTGGGAGCTTTTTACCTTGACAGTTTGGGAGCAGGAGGGTGGGGATGGCAGCCTAACACATTTAGGCTTTGTCTAAATCATATTTAAAATATTTGAGCAAGATTGAGCAACGTGCAAATGAAAATGGAAATGTTGTTTGTGAATAATTCAGCCAAAAAAGGACAGAGTGGAAATGTTAGAACCTACCCCATAGGCAGGATTAAATGTAGCATTTGCCCAGAAAATGGTAAATGTATGCAAACACAAGAAATTTAATATATCTGTATGATTATCAGCACAATTAAAATTGTTTATAAAAACTGATCTATTTTATTTACATGAAATTCATAGTATATCTATAGTATATATCTGATATAAAATGTTTTAAGAAATTGTTTGGAATTTATGCAAGTTATCTCATTGTTCACTTTAGGAGGCTTAGTTGTAACAGTGAAGTTGTATTTTAGCCTATTTTACATTGTACTTGAAGCTAGCTCTTGAAGGAGAGTTGGTTATATACCTTAAAACGTTGCTGTGTTACAGACTCCATGATGCTGTTGAAAGTAATATAGGTGAATTCTGTACTATACAAACAACTCAAAACAAACAAAAAGTATCTTTCATGATGAATCTCAAGACATCTCTGTCAGAGAGCAGATAACTGACAAAATTCACAGAAAGTGAAAATGTGCTGCATTTTATCCCATGCTAAATTGTGCCCTGCTCTCCTTACCATAGCTAACCTCTAAATAGAACATTAGCGAAGAAAATGTGTTTCTTATGTTTCAATATTTGAAACATAAGACTAATAAACCGAAGTAACAAATTGGGGTGCCACATTGTTGGCTATAATTATTGCCCATAAATCCAATATCAGACCAATAATAATAATTACATTTTCCAGTTTTTCTGTGAATAATTTGTCAACCACCAATATATTGTACCATTATAACAAGTCTTGGCATTTATAATCATTGTTATAAATCTGTTACAAGGTTATCTTCTTCGACAATAAACATGTAAGAAGTTGATAGAGGAGGCGGCATGTAAATGCTCCTGCAGTGTGTATGTGTAAATGTGTGTGGCAGATCCTTAAGAGGGGGCAGGTTTCATTAATCCATTTTATAGCCCTGAGATGAGGGGGGATGCGGCACCAAACCTGATTTACTGCCTGTGTGCTTGAGTAAGTGATAAAATATGTTTACCGTCCCTACTGCATGTAAATCTCTCCACCTACACACACACACACACACACACGCACACACACACACATACATACACACACATGCACACACATATTTAGAAATGTTAGCATACATCTACTCTAAAAAGAGCAGGAAATGAAGAAAATACCTGGTGAAGTTCAAATAACCAACACCACCTGTTCAGTTCATTTTGCACATAACATCCATGCTTTGAAGCATACATGGCATAGCTCAGTGTGTGTAAAGTCATACAGGAGTTCTACTCCAATTATAGCTA